GCAGTGTTTTTGACTCCGACACAAAGCTAATACATAATATGCAATGCCGATTCATGGTTCAAGAAACGCCAGCATAAAAGCACTACAAGTGATAACATCAGCTATCAACAAATCGTCGATAATACTTGTTCCGAATATTTAGTTTTCGTTGGCAACGAAACGTGTCAACTGAGAAATTTCTATCCATGCGACATTTTGTCTGCGTGTCTAAAGCCATAACATATGCAAACATGCGCTGCATAAACCGAATATAATGCAATAAGCATTATATCAGATGGGTTACACAGAGGTATAGCAACGACCCGCTCTGACGAGATGCTTAGGAGACTATAGAAGCAAGCCACGTATAGATGGTATTGCAGCTACTGCAGTGCATCGATCCATTTCGCACAATGCGATACGAACATCGAGTAGCCTGTACAGTACAGCAGTGAAATTGAACGATGAAGTCGCGGCATTTCGATCGGTGCTTCACAGATCTTGTTCAACACGGTACCTGCGGCTGTTGTTGTTGGAGGATGGTCGAAGAGGGCCTTCAGACTTAAGTATCGGTCTGCAATTTACGATGTGGATAAATCCATCAGATTATACTGTGTCGACAGAAAATTGGTTAGTAGAAAAAGGGCGAATTTAACGGTGCGTACGCCCACGGAAGACATACTGTCACGGCTACAATATAATTTTTAAAACTTTGCTTTCACTTTGACGGATCTATTATAATCCGACACCCAGAACGGCAGCTCTCTTCGAAATACAAATGGTTCACATGGTTTCCGTACCCGGATGTCGACCAGTGAAATGAAATCGATGAGAAATCAGATGTTGTTAGCAAAACATCGAGCCACCTGCTGCTAAACGAAGCTGAGCATCAATGGGTACAAAGGAAAACGTCTACTTGAAACGACAGAAACGACAATCTCGCCGACATATCAAACTCACTTAGAGAAAGAAGACACACGTGGCTGACAATCTGCAGCGCGCCAATTATGTGTCGCTAGTGCATCGCGGAAAACCGAGAGTAGAAATAAATCGTGCACTTGGGTTGGACGGTCAAACTCGAAGAGCGCTGCTAAAGAGAACACCCGAACTACTGCTTGTCGAAGGACAAAACAACACCTAAGTTAAACTGAACTAAACACAATGAACCGTATGCTGTGTGCATGGAACTGTACACCGTGTGACTTATACAGGGCTTACAAAAGGTAAGCACACAGTGACGGTTACAGAGATATTGGGCTGTTTCAGAATGTTTGCATTCTCGCAAAACCGATCAATTGATTGATGGCCTCAGCTACTTTTTTAATTCAACATCTGGTTCATGATGGCCTCTATAACACGAAATCTATAAAGCATCAGCGTTCCTATGGAGAAAAACGGCCACGAGGGATAATAGCAGAGCAGACCACTTACCTTAATACATCAGCAATGTTTTGTAAACAAAATGTGCGGCAACGAACGGTTGTCTGGGTCCTACCAATTGCGTTAATTCCCAAGATTTTAGAACGTTATTGCAGAAGTTGGGCACAAATAATAAAGAAGAATGCACTTTAAAACCCAAAACGGACTAACTGGACCTAGACGGGCTCCGTGGAAATAGTTTCACGTTATAATAACTGTAGATTTTTGTCAGTGAGCTTTGTTTTCTGGCAATTCAGTACGCTACTTCTTAGCTTCTGTCGCGTCACATCGTGTTCAGACAAACCGCCCGCACGTATGCGTTTTTCGAGAAATTAAACGCGGTGCCATTTCTACTTTGCTCTCTTCAGAATACGTAAGCTGGCAGAAAAATTCCATATCCACAGCTTCCTGAAAGTATCCTTCATTGCCACACATTAGTTTGAAAGGTACAAGGAAAAATAGTAGCCTCGGCTACAATGACAGGCACAGGAGGCCACTTCAGCCTAAAAACCGGTATTCTCGGCTGGCGCAATAGTACAATAGAAGGTAAAAACATAGCACAATTCATCTTAGCTCGTGATCTATTACTCTGGCCACTGCATGCAGTCCCCGACCTGGACGAAAATATGAACTTCTGTAGAACTTATAAGAAATGAGGAACCTACGGCAAACTGTGACGGAAGGATCGGGTGTTACGTCGATGAAATCTTTTCATCATGCAATCTTGTTCCCGAACAGTGGACGACAGAACCGATGGAAGATCCAGATCGCCGGCTACGGGTACCATCAGTAAACAGATGAGAACATCGCTTATGCCACCTGGATGGCGTCGCGGTGCCGGACCAGGATAGCGCAAAATTACTCGTGACACGGTCAATCTTCTGAACCGCAAAAGACACCTATTGTTGCTGTTAAGGCAAACTGTGAGCATAACGTCGCAACCGCATATGACCAGTGCCAGAGCGAAGTCATAAGCAGATTCCAAAGTCACCCGCCGGTAGGTCACGTTCTCTAGAACGCGGCAAGGTTTCGTACTACAATCATTCTGTAGTCAAGTATGAAGTTAAACAATGTCAGAAGTGTCTCGCTTACCTTGAACTCTTTACTCTCTGTACTAAATTTTCGCAGTCGCTGCAAGGCAAGAACACTGAATAACAGCGGAATCACTAAAGAAGTTTGAGAAGTTCACAAGAAATACTGAAACAGCTACACCTTCACGGGTGCTAAGCGAAAGAATACAAAGGAAATGTTTCGAATAACTGAGATGTCGATCTCACTTACACTGTCATGATGGGCATCATTTGTACAGCCCTATCTACCGCAGAGCATACTGATGCAAGGCTGACTCTTTTCGATACGCTACCATCACCGGCCAGCAATGCGCTGTTTATGAAATCGATATCTGAAGTTGTGATTAAAGAAAAGCGTGGAGCGGCCTGCTCGTCTTTCGTCCTCATGAAGACAATGAATAAACACTATCTGAGGTAAAACAAAGGTTACATAGTACAGCATCATCCGGCTGAAGATATGGCCATAAGAAGGTAGTTCGCTCTCGGCCGTTGGCTCCGAAAGACGTTCAGCGCTTCACGAAAGAAAACTGCCACGAACAGCATGAACAGCAGAGGGCCACCACCACCTCAACAGTTGCAAACAGCCGTTTCGCAAATAAACTTCGAACTACGCCTATGTTTCGTTGGAAGTAAGCGCCGTAGGTAGGTTGACTTGCTGTCACGCGTCGTTAGGATTAGCGCACATGCTTCGAGTTCAAGAAGTTCATCTTCGGCTTTAGACTCATCGCAAGGGCACTCCCTAAAACGATATTAATCTCTTTGGCGGAACGAAAACCGCACGACCGAATGCGAAGAAGTTCCCACCAACCACGCGAATGGCAAAGTACCTCTTAGATCTGGCGCCAACTGCAGGGTAAAATACCCACAAAGGTCCAACGTCAATTTTTTGCAAAAGTTTTTCTTCTGCTGTTCCGAAAATATGACGATTTACAAAAAGTTACTTAACAACGAACGTTCGGGAGCAAACAGAACAGGTTCCACCGCGAGTGTGTACATGCTTACTTTACATCTTGAGAAATTACGCAGATATTTCTAACTATCAATTATGGCGCAACTTAACAGCTCGGCATCAACGTCATGTCGCATTCACGCTTCAGAAGTCTAGAACTACTAATATACGAGGTTGTTTCGCACGGTGAATAACAGTGAAGTGCATTCTGCAACGCTGTACATCATCGTCAGTAACACGTGGTCGGCGCGGCAGG